ATTTTTGAGGCTTGTCTGAAAGGTGATGACTGTTCGAATGGCCACGAACAAGTCTATAAATAGCCAGCCTTTCTACCAGAAAATTTACACCATTTTCATTGCAAACTTTCTGTGCTTTGAATCTCATTTCCCTCTCTCTCGTTCTGATATTGTCTCGAAGTCAAAAACACTTCGTTGAGTTCGTTGGAACTCCTACAGACTGCAGTGCTGCTTCCGTAGGAGACGAAAAATTCGTTCTATCCTGGAAAACGATTGCTGGACGCCTTTAGCACCATTGAAGGCAGCAAATTCGTTTTAAGGACACATCGTGAAGTCGGTGGGCTCGAATTACAATTTCTGATCCTGTTGATCAATTCCTGCATTCAGGTAATTCTGTCCGATTGTTTTCGAAGGAGTGAATTCAAACTCTAGAAACAACAACGACTTGTGTACATTTGGGACATTAAATTCTGGAAAATATGACACCAACAACGAGGGAAAATAGAATGTTGAAATGAAAGAATCAAAAACCTTGAAACTAAACTACCTTAGGCTCCGAAGCTGAAAATGGTCCAGTGATCATGGGAAGTCTGTAAATTTTGCTTACAGTTTCCCATTAAATTAGCATAGCACTTAACGTGCTCAAATCCTAAAAGAAAAACTAGAAACGAACTGTGTGGTGAAAGAGCAACAATAGAATCAAGAACGAATGCACAACAAGAGTCAACCGGGATGTAAATTGAAAGTACAACTCCGTCCAAAGAAATAGGTAAAACTGAGGCTATATGCTCATCCCTAATTGGAAAAAAACTATATAGTACTGATTACTACCCTCAATTCAATTTAAGTAAACGATTGCCATACCAGAACAAAAGTAACAGATAGTTTTACGATTTACCAACAGCAGAAAATGAACTGGCTTACATTAAATATGAGATTTTTGTTAGAGGCTTCCCATGCTAAACCTCCCCTGAAGCCGATACACCAAATAAGCACTAAAATTGCACCTACTATGGCCAAAAAGTGTGCGACATAAGAAAACGGCATCGCCTTTATTCCGATCGCCATTTTTTTCACCCTCGCTCTCGTCTCAACACGAAAATTCCGTTTATGATCTTCTGGGAGCTCCGTGCTAATCACTCTTGAAGATTTGTGAACCGTTGGATGAAGATTATTTTCCCTTGTACTTGGGATCGTGGACACGTGTCTAAATATCATTGGGATGAACTGTTACCACGTGTTTCAGCTACGATAGGGGATTGGTGTTATCTTCTTGTTCAATAAATTTCCATATTAAACGAATGATCGGTATTAATCACATCAAACCACAATTTTTGACTTTTTATCTATTGTGTGGATTCTTAACGACTATATTTTTCATTCTCGTTTTTTCAAAAATGGGAAACAAACGGAGCGTAAATTAAAATAATTTAACATGTGTATTTGCAACTAACAAATACTTACCTTTTGTATAAATTATTTATTGTAATAAATAATACGATTATTAATGAACGACAAGTATAGTATGCAATTCTAATTTTAATTATTAATGTATTCTTGATTCATCCCTATAAATATGAGACTTTGGTTCTCGATATAATACATACAAATTGATTGGCTTCTTACTTAATTCTCTAGTTTATAACACGTTATCAACACAATAGCTAAATTATTTTTTAGTAATTCAAATTTTAGTGTTCTCTAAAAAAAAAAAAAAGGCGATTTCTTTGGTTCCAAAAGAATTTTCGATTCATTTTCATATCGCAAATAAACTTGTCGAAAAGTAATAAATTTTTTTGTACCTACGAATGACAACGACATATTCAAATTCTGTTTCTGTCCTGATTTCGAAATATACATTATCTCAATTGGGTGATTTGTAATCTTTTAAAATAATTATTTACAATTGGGTGGTTCTAATTGTATATTTATATTTGCAATTGTACTCGTGAATTATTATTGACGTATAAGAATCATGTCAATGCATTGTATATGAATTTAGTCAATTCACTTCAATTCATGTGTACTAAATTATTATGTCACCGGATTATATATATATATCCTTTTTATTTATTTATGTGTATAATGACCAATTAAATATTCCGCACTCATAATATCAATATTATTAGCTAAACTAAGAAGTTTATTGATTTATAAGTAAGATGATTATTTGAATATTTATTTTTTTAATCTGGTTAAATATTTTTAGATATTTAATTATAAATTAAAAAAGATAAATCCATTAAGAAGGCATATACTTTTGATAAGTATTTTTAAACATAATAAATTATAAAATCTTAGAAGAGGTTTAGATACTTGAAATATTGAAAATTGAGATATCTCAATAATTTATGTTGTTATAAAAAAAAAAAAGAAATAGCATCGAAAATAAAATAAAAGATTATCGACAACACTTTTGCACATGATGTATTGCATCATGTAGCGAGGAATCAAAATAAATGAGTCAAAATATATTGATCAAAGTAATAATTTGCCATATAAAAAGGACGCAATCCTAAAATTGAATTTATTAGAAAAACTTAAAATTGCTAGAGCTACCGTCCAAAAATCAAAATGTGTAAATTTATGTGAAAAAGGAAATGAGAAAAATAAAGTCTTAATATGTAATGTGTGACTCTCAACGTAGTAAATTTCTCAAATATCGTAGTAGATCGATGCATAAAATTTGAAATATGTTATAGTCAATTCATTTAACATGACTATTAATATCATCCCTAAAGAATTTGATATGCCTAAGCCATGGGCAGATCCAGCACCCTGAGAGTTGGCTCGACCACCCGCATTGGATCCAATGAGAGAAGTAAAAATTAATTGAGGTTTATGTGTGTGTGTGTGTGAGAGAGAAAGAGAGAGGGGGGGGGAGAGAGAGGGGAATTATTGTACAACATTTATTGAAATGGAGTGTAAAAAAAAAAGGTTGAACCCCAACCTTGAGGGTCCCCTACCGCCCCTACCCTGGAGCATCGTGAGGGAGGTAAATCGCAGGTTATGCCTCCAAGGATATAGGGTGGAAGGCTGCTTGTACACTTGCACTTACTCAAGAACCAAATCCATATTTCAGGATTCGAACCCTTGACGCAGCAGCCTCAAGCAAAACTGGATTTCTCCACCCTCCCCTTTTACCACTTAGAGATGTGCCCTGGAGGCTTATTGAAATGGAGTGTAGATCACATGAAAGAGTGTCTGCCTTTTCTTGTAAGATACTTGGGTTTGATTCTCCTTCTGAATTTTAATCATGGTAACTTCTTTTTTCATTAATTAGAATTTTTGCTAATAAAGTTTTAACGAGACATATTCTTTGTGTAATAATATCCATAATCTATACGACATTTATTCTCAAAAATAATAATATTCACATATGTTTTTAGACTCCCGAATAGAATTCGAATCTTGTTATTATAGTTAGGGAAAATTGCAGTCAAGGTACCAAAACTTTCATTTATTAGTAGACTTTGTCCAAACTTTTAGTTTGTTCTACCATGAGTATCAAACCTTTCAAAAATTCCCAGTTCAAGTCTAAATGGATGAAAACATCCATTTGGACTGTTAGTTGACCATTTAAAAAATTTTGACCTTTTTTGACCAATGTTGGAAGGGTAAAATGGTACTTTTATATTATTTCACATTAAAATTATCTTATAATAATTAAAAAATAAAAATGAAGAATATTTTTCTTCTTCCCCCACTGATATAAATCAAGGCGCGTCAACAATCAAGACAACTCAAGCGTCAAGTCACGGGAAGGATCCGTTGATCGTCGAAGGTGGACTGATGACGCGATCGAGGATAAAGCAAGTGAAAGAAGCGATGGGATTGCTCGTCAAGCAAGTCAATGAAGACACAATGTTCGGAGCGCAAAATGGAGCAAGTTTCATGTTGGAGTCGAGGGCAAAAAGAACTTGGATCAACGTGATAAAGAAGGAAGAAAATGAAGCCAAAGATTGTTCCATGCGACCGCATGGTTAAACAACCTATGCGGTCGCATAGATGACCTCAGGGATAATATTGGAGGCATGGACTTGTTCTATATGACCGCATAGATTAACACTATGCGGCCGCATAGAACAAAAACATGAAAAAAAATTCGTTTTTTTATTTTTTTTCGAATTTCCTAGTTTCGATAGAATTCTTATGAAATCAAATTATTACCATAATTTGATGGGTTTTGGACTTTTTTACTCATTAGTATAAATAGGAGAATATTTTTCATTGTAAGGACTTTTGCTTGAATAATATTATAGAGAGAATTTGTTCTTTCAATTTCTTGTTCTTCTTGAACAATCTTGGAACTTATCAAGATTCAATTTCTTATGGTGTTCTAAACAATCGGATTGTGGGTTCATTTAATTGTAATCAAGGGGTTTTAGGTTTCTCGCTAATCTAGGGTTTCTTGTTTCAATTCTTGGGGTTCAAGATCCAAAACCGAGTTAGTATTGGCGTTCTTGGGTTCCGCATCAATCTCGTTGTGGGTTTCGTAGTTTCCATTGCTACAGGGTTCGCATCAATTGGTATCAGATTTTTGGCTCCAATTTAATCAGGTTATATCATTTGTTTTCTAATTTTTTTTTAATTCCTTGTGTTCTTGTGTCCAGAAAGTTTTCTTGATCCGTTGATCCAAAAGTTTCATCAAAAATCTTCAAATTCCGTTTCTAGGCTCAATTTTCGTTTTCTTCGTTGGTTTTGTTATTGATTTTTGGATTTTAAAAAAATTACTGTTCATCCGTACGGTACTGTTCATCCGTACAGTAATAAAAAAATTGTTAAATATTATTAATCCGTCAAATACCAACTTTTATTATTCAATATCGTTTCTAAATTACTTGGACACATTGAATCATTCCATTCCTTCAATTCAAGTCAAGTTTTAAAAGTTTTCTTTGAGTCCTTTGTTACAATTATTGAGTCACATTTGGTTTGGGGAATTCTACACGATTTGATTGATTGTTCCTAGAAGCAATTGTTGAAAGAACTGAGTGGTAAAAAGCAGAAAGATAAGCTTAATAGAGGGTAAAAGCCCTTATGTGTTTCCGAGTGACCTTTGGTGAGGCAGTAAAATAAAATTTTTAGTGTTCGGATGTCAAAAAGAGCAGAATCAAACTCAAGCCGACAAGGTATTAATAACAATGTATCGGAGGATTTTGTGCAGAGGTTTGAAAGGGCGTTTGGAGATGTGAGAGATATGTTGGAGAAGCAGGAGGCTTGGATGAATAGATTAAATACATCGGTGGCTAATCTTAGTCGGGGGCATCGAGTGGATGTATCCAATGCCAGAGGGCCGGATAGATGGGAGCCTAGGAGGGAAAGGCAAGAGGAGTATGGATATGAGAGTGACATGGATGAAGATGAATTTCACGGTGTTGAGATGGGAAGGATGAGGAATAGAGGCGATAGGTTCGACAAACGGGGTTGGAATGATCGCGAGGGGGAGTTGGATGGAAACTTGGAAAATATAAAAATGATAGTTCCTTCATTCAAAGGAAGGAGTGATCCCGAGGCATACCTGGAGTGGGAAAGGAAAGTTGAAATGATCTTCGAGTGTTATAACTACTCGGAGGAGAAAAAGGTGAAGTCAGCAGTTTTGGAGTTCAGCGACTATGCAATTTCATGGTGGGATCAAGTGATTATTTCATAACGTAGGAGTGGGGGAAGACCAATCAACACTTGGAAGGAATTGAAGTCATTGATGAGAAAGAGGTTTGTTCCTAGCCACTATTACCGAGAGATCCATCAAAAACTGCAATGTCTATATCAAGGGTCGAAAAGTGTAGAGGACTATCATAAGGAGATGGAAATACTCATGATTAAGGCCAATGTGGTGGAGGATCGGGAGGCTACCATGGCACGATTCTTGAATGGGTTGAATAGGAAAATTGTCAATGTAGTGGAGTTGCAACATTATGTGGAGTTGGAAAACATGTTGCATGTGGCTATGAAGGTAGAGAGACAACTGAAGAGGAAAGGGCCAGCTAGGTAGCTGTTAGAAACTTCGAGTGTTAATCCATCTTGGAAGCCAGGGTGGAACAATAACAACAAAGGTGATAAAGCTATACCTAAAGGTAGGCATGAGTGGCAGAAAGGGAAAAAAGAAAGTGCTAGCAAAACAACACCCAAAAGAGATTCACAACCATCAAGGAATCGAGACATCAAGTGTTTCAGATGCTTGGGGTCAGGGCACATTGCTTCTCAATGCCCAAATAAACGGGTAATGGTGTTTTGGGGTAATGGAGAGGTGGTGAGTGAAAGTGAAGGAGAGTTTGA